CTCTCCTAATTTCAAGGGGCTACAACTGCGGAAGGGCTTTTCCTAGAATTCTTCATTGCCAAAGTTAGTTTTCGCCTGTCTCACCATACCTTCCAGGCTGTATTCCTTGAGGAACACATCTGAAATTAGTAGAGCAAAACAATCTAAATTACTATGAAAAGAAGCAAAAGTGTTCCAGAATGTCGAGGAAATTGCAATAAGGAGGACGAAATTCACACTGTTATATACATAAGTTTTTTAAGAGAAAATGATACACTTCTGTTATGGCAAAAACTTTTAAAATGATGTCTGTACTACCGCTCTTATGAATATTCATGAGATAGAATATAGGCTCACAACAACTGGTAAAGGAAACTGAGAACGTGTTTTAAAACAAGAGAGGCTCTTTGAACGGCCAAATTAAATTATAGCTGAACTTTTGAGTGTACTGAGGGTTCTAATAAGCAACAAATAAAGACTTTTATTGGCCAGCAACACAATGAGAGCTACTGTGCAGGAAGACTAATCTGGGCAGTTTATCTCCCTGGATGTAAGATTTACTTAAACAGTAAATAAATGTCCAATGTAATGCCCCTAAAAACTAGTATATAAATAATGAAAAGCAATCACGATCACTGATTATTTAATATAAGCATATCACAAATTTTACTGGTAGGACTGATAAACAAATATGAAATCAAATGCCAAATTGTGAAAACATTCAAGTCCTGCCATTTAAATGCAGCTTATTTCCTGATTAATAATATATCATATTTGCAAGTGATTTTTTGTTTATGTTTACAAAATGAGGCCCTTCTTTTGAAGGAAGTTTCTCTCCAAAATATGTAGTTGTACACAGAGCTACTTCAAAACATCATCTATGGAGAGAAGTACCTTTCTTTTGTGAGCTAGAGTAAGGTAGTACGTGCCTCGGTGGCTGGGTAGGAAGATGCTATTAATAGGAGTTTGAAGGTGGGCCTGCCAACACGTGAATAACTCCTTCAGTTGACAAAGTGACACACTATACTTAAAATATCTTTGGTTGAATTTTTCCTAATTCATATCACTTAAAAAGTACAGTCCTAGAAAGCTTAGCTGACTCCTTAACTGCTTGCAAAGGGAATTCTGCTGTTGTCGCTACTGTGTGCGTATGTGTGTGTGTGTGCGTGTGTGCATGCATGTGCATGTGTGTGTGTGCATGTGTGCATGCACAAGTGTTTGTGTATGTGTGTATCTCACCTCCAAGCCTAAACTCTAAGCCAGTATTGTGAAACATTCTGACTTCCAGAGTACTTTCTGTAAACGTTAAGTATATCTAATAAAATCATGAGGCTCCCTCTAGCTCTGTGGAGAGCTTACTAACCAACTATACTATGTAACTCCTGACCAACAAGAGATGTTGCAGGGAAACTGCTGTTTTCAACTCTGTTTCTTGTCAGGATGCAGATGTTAACTGAGACCATCTGCACAGGAATTCAGAAAGCACCACTCCTTTATACATTCATTAAGTTAAAACTATTAATTGCTCCCAAACTAAGCTTTATGTACAAACACTCTAGAGTGAAACTGGCCTGTCTGAACTATGCTTGCATTCTTAAATTTTGATTTACTCACCTTGTATAAAATAAATTTCAATTTCAAAAACCAACATGTGAACATTTCAAACAAATTCAACTTGCAATCTGGTCTCAATTTTAAAAGCCTACCTTTAAATTTTGAAAAATCTTGGAGCACAGAATAGCCCACTTTATTAACAGTTCATCTGCTGAATTTATGTAAAACAAAGATACTGATGGTAATTTGTAGAAAAAAAATCTTCATGCACCATAATATTTATATACAATGCTGGTAATGACTTTTTTATTGTTTAATCTTTTCAGCAATTCAGTATTGAATATTTGGAGGTTGTAGTTATTTAGAAGACTATAAATAATATAGTTGAAGTATGCCATTGATGTTTTGTTCATCTTACAATAGTCATAAAAGCCACTACTCCACTGGCAGATCTCTCCAAACAAGTGAGTATGAACATTGCTAAATCAAACTCTACATGCTTGCTAAAGCCATTTTTCAAATGTTTGCAGAATATTTAAAATAGCACTGAAGCTTAACTCCAAAATTTAAAGTAAGGGGAACCGCTAGCTTCAAGTCATCTTCTACTTTGGACTCCCTTAATACAGGAAATATTCCCAGGAACAACAAAAAGAACAGCTCCCTCTCCTCTCTCACCCCCACCCCCCCCTTTTTTGTGCCAGTGTCCAATTTCTTCTTTTCTGAACAGCTGTATTATCCAACTTAAGTTGCTCTGCTAATTTCAGTCCCTCAAGGACTAACTTGGAAGGCAAAAAAATACAAGAAAAGATCAATTTGCTGGGAAAGATCAAATGAGAAAACTGTGGGGACAGCACCAGGGCAGCTTGTGGAGAACTAAGCAGACCTGTTCTTCATTAACCGCCGCTCTCTAGGGACGTCACACGCTACCTGTCCGTGGGCTTTATTGAACCGCCTAACCCGCCTCTCCGTTCCATTCTTCTGGGCCCAAGTGAATCATATCCTGCTGCTGACAAGTTAGCAGGGGACTGCGGCTGCAACATGAAAGTACTTTTCTTTCTTGTCTAAATCAGGCAGATTTTTGAAAAGACGACACAGCATTGACTCGTGACATGGCAAGATGAAACGAGAGGTCTGGGCCGGTCTTGGAGCTTCGCAGATAAAAGTAATCAAATGACACTCCTGGAATGCAAATTGGCATTCTTGACTGCGGCAATTGCACAACCATGAAACATCCCTGACAGCAAGCAAGATTAGGACAAAATGTTATGTAAAGCACTGAACTCAAAACTCTCACTTGGAAATTCAAACTGTAACACTTACATTTTAATACAGCAACAGTCAGCTCTGCTTTTGTCTGCTTCTTTTTGTAATCACATTTCCCCGCCTGACAAAGAACTTACATCTCAGGTAGAAGAAAAAAAAAATCAGGTATTACCAATGCACTAGTGCTATTAATATTTTCTCCATATTTATTTTAAAAATCCCATGAGGTTGATTTTTTTTTACCCAAAGTGTTACATGCAAACACAACGCAACAATATTCTCACTGGATTGGGGGTGGGGGCATTTCAGACATGCCTGCAAAGATCCCCTATACAAAGTTCAGACTCAGGTTGACTAGTCCTTCCCTCAGGTGAAGCTAGTCCTGTGCTTTGGCAAAGTGATCAGCCAGCAGTCTGGGTTTAAAATACACAGCTCTCCGGGAACAGAAAGAGTACCTACAACACAGAACTTCATTAAGACTGAACAAGTTTAAATGAAACGGCTACACATCATACGATAGAAGGCACAGAAGACTTTAAGGGTTCACAGGGGATTCTCACATACTTGATTCCAAGGGGTGAAAGGGAGTTTTATCAAACTGCACAAGGCTCAGTACTAGAGGACACCTTCAGAACAGAAACACTTAGGGCCGGAAATAAATTCCACTTAGAGCATGCGTCTGTACACAAAAACAACGAAAAGTGCAGGATACCGAACAGTGGAAGACAAATGCACTCAGCCACCGCTCAAAGTGACTCTGAGAGGGAATAGATCTGTAATACTGGCCAGAGGAAGAAAAAGGTGTGCAACTGGCTTTTATAATGGTCCTTGTGTAAAATGCCACTACAAGAAAATCTCCAGTTCTAAACAGATATATTTCTCATTTTGTTTTGATGCCTCACTTAAACACAGGCTCCAACAACTACAACTGTCCACGAAGCACATAAAAAATAATAAAACAGGCCACTTTCTGCCACTTTAATCCTGGGTACACAGGATTATTTTATGATGTCTTTTGTACATCAGTTTTACAACAGCTTGACTCTAGGGTAAATGGGAAGCATCATAAATCGCACGCTGCTTTCAAAACCTCTTTAATTTCTGCCAGCATTACTGTAACCGCAGTCATGGGTGCATTTTGTATGTGCGTGTGTCTACATTTGACAGTACCTTCTCCTTCATTTCAGTTGTGACTTTGATCTCTGAAACAAGAGATGTCACATCAGGGGGAAGGGAAAAGGGGGAAAAGTCAACCTGCTAGCACCCCTGTTTCTTATACATCCAATCTACATAGGGCCCACTGCAAATCAGAGCCTCCAAGTGGGGGTAACAACAGCGACACTGGGTGGTAGGGAACTCCAAGGAAAGGAGTGGTCAAGCCCCATTTCTAACAAATGACTTCCCCGAAAGCGGACATCGCAGCTCATCGCTGGGTGAACTAATTGCCTGCTTCCTCGCTGCGAAGAAGTGGTCCCTTCGAGGGGCTGTGCAGGAGTCCCACTGCGCTGCGCCATCCCTTTTCCTCCACCATCTGCACCTACAAGTTTTCTGAAATCTTCTCCTCATCCCACGGGAGATTTTGTCTAGTTTTGTCTTGAGCCCCGTCCCACATTTTTTTTTAAAAAAAAAATCTGCCGCCTTTCACGCGTCAAATCCCACGGTCCGGTCGGTGTGGAAGTGCAGTGGGCCGGCTGCTTCAGAACCGCACTTTGGGAAAGCACACACGTGTCTGTCTAGCGGGACTGGACTGGTGGCGTCCAAGTCCTCCGCAGCCGCGCGGGCCGGCATCGCTGCGGTCCCCACGCGGGCCGCACCCCGGGGACCCACGCCCAGCCTCCGCTCAGGCTCTGCCCACGCCGGCTAACTTGGGAAAGTTGTCGCGGCTCTGGGTCCTTCCGTGCATCCCGCGTCCCCGCGTCCCGCGCCCACCCCGAGGGCTCCCAGTCCCCAGAGCCCACGACTGCCGGCCGCACACCTAAGACGCGGGAGCCCTTGCCCGCGCCCGCCCGCCCATAGCCGCCTCGAGAACTTGGGGCCAAGTTGGGGTGAGGGGGTGGATTTGGGGAGCGTCGCCGGCTGCCCGCCTCCTCGCGCCGCGGCGCTAGAGGAGAACGCGGCCCGCCGCGGCCCCGGGGCGTCCCGCCCGGGTCAGTCCCTACCAAGTGCAGACGCAAGCGGGCGGAGAGGAGGTGGAAACTTCTTACCATCTCGGCATGCTGGTTGTCAAGTGCAGCCCCCGCCTCTTGGTCTCCTCTTAGCGGCCGCGCCTGGACCAGCCCCTCGGTCGCCTCTGCTCGCCCGCCGCTCGGCCTGCTCCCTCCCCCGCCCGGCCGCTCCGGGCCGCGCTCGCCGCCCGCGCCACTCCCCGCCCGCCCGCCCGCCCGCGCGCGCCCTCGCCGCGGCCCCTCGGCGGCCGCTCAGGTGACTGATTTACACCCGCGCCCAGGGTCGCGCTCGCTCCCCCGAGCCGGGCCGGCGCTCCGAGTTGCCCCGCTCCTCCCCGGGCCGAAGGAGAAAAGAAAAAAAGGGAACGGACTGTCCGGGAGGGGGGCTGCTGGCGAGGCGGGGTGGGGGTGCGCGCGGCGGCGCGGGTGGCTGGGGGGGGGGGGGGACCGGCGACCGTGCCAGCACAAGTTTCTGCTCTCTGCACAACTGTCCAGACTACAGTGTTTGCCGCCTGTTTGCTTGTTGTCCTCGAGCTTTCTAGGGGCTTCGTGGAAGATGTCTATTCCTCCCCCACCCCCACCTTGTTACCCCCCCACCCCCTTCCGTGGATGGAAAAACAACTTTGGCGCCCCCCGGGGGGTGCGGGCGTGGAAGTGGAGGTGGCCGCCAGCGCCCAGCTGTCAACAAGGGGGAAAAAATGCGAGTAGCGGGGAGGGGAGAGGGAAGGCTGCGAGCTGCCGAGCGGAGGGCGCGAACTTTAGTCCGACTGCGGGCGCAGCGTCCCGGTTCCCGGCTGTTCGGGTTTTCGGTCCGCTCGATCCAGCTCCGTTAGCCCCGTGCGGTGCCGGGGACCGAGACTCGGGACTGCGACTCGCGGGGACACCCGGCAGAAAGTTGCGCACAGCTGGGGGCGAAAAGTTTCTGGGAGCGGCGTGTTTGGTGCCGGCGCAGACGGCGGCTTGCGGCCAGGGCTTCCTTCCCCTTTCCTAGGTCTGGGCCTGGAGCTGCGGCGGGGCGGGGGAGAGAGAGGAAGGAGACTGCCACTCTAGCGGGCGCCCGCGGCTGGACACCAGTCACACGTGTGGGGGACACTCTGCCGACCCGAGTTGCCCTTCCTGGAGACATGGCCACAGGCAATAGGCTCGGTGCGCACCCGCCAGCAGCTGAAAGGGTAGCTCTTAAATGGAAGCAAAACACAAAGTCGGGCTGCGGGACCCGGGTGGTGGTGGGGAGGCCTTAATCATGCTCATCTTTCTAACGCACACAAGGTGCCAAAACCATCTCCGCTTCGTGCAGATTTATCATGGCTAGGGCAAACTTTTTGCTTATCAGTCTTGGGAGGAAAGCACAGGTTTCTAGCACGCTCTCTGAGCTCTAAGAAATCAGAGAATCCGCGAAGATTTGGTTGGCTGAACAACAGGCTTGATTACTGTTTCTTCCTGAAAAGAGAAAACCGTTCCTCCCCGTCCTTTCTCTCTTCCCCAAGCGGAGGGAGAGACTGCATAATTTCATTCAGAGGTCAGAATTAAATTCCTTCGAAAATATGTAGCCTTGGAATTAAGGAGGCTTTTTTCCTGTACAGTCATAAGTTTAATGTACATTTTCACAATAGTTAAGATTAACTTTTTTTTTTCAGGATCCATGCCTGACTAGATCCCAAATAGCAACAGCTGGCCTGAGAATGTAACTCGGCTTATTCACGTGGTAGACCCAGCTTTTTTTTTTTTTTTTTAATAACAGGGCCTCCAGCACCTGCAGTTCTGTGGTTCTGTGTACTGGTTGGATCCAATTCCTGACTCCTTCTAGGCCTGTGCAAAGCAGAGTTCTATTCACTTCAGAATTTGTGGATTATATGGGTCATTTTTGTATGCTACAATTTGTGTGGTAAATGCTTCTCACGTTATACAAAATACTGTAGTGTTTGGGCACATGGTTCATCTCTAATTTTCCAATGAGAGACAGTTACTTTTCTCACTGGTAAAAATTACAGGTTAGGCATCTACCCCTTATCCACATATGTTTAAATACTTGTTATCAAAAGAGGCTCATCTCTAAATGACTTGATGAAGGTGTGGAGCCTATTCCCTAAACATAACTGTAACATCATTCTGTAGTTTGCAGAAACTGATTACACAAGGGATAATGATGACCAAATGTTCATACTGAGCAACCGAGGAGCATCCCAAGAATTTTCCAGAAACAAGCCAAGTTCTGGTGTGTTTTTCCTCATCGTGAAAACATGAGAAAAACTAGCTGCTAATTTCGGAGTCATTACCCATACAAACCCATTCACACACTTACTGCTTTGGAGAAGGGGCAGCCCTGCGATTGCCAAACAATTGCATTCACACAGTGTGTTTCTGGCGGCACACCTACACTTGCAATGTTTGGAGTTTTTTCTGCATCAAGCGATGTGTAAGTTACATCTCCTGATTGATTCCAGATCTACCTGTCTGTTCTTGATCTACCTAAGGTAAGATGTGTCTATTGAAGTCCCCCTCCTTTCTGGGCAGTCAAGAATTGGTTGGGCTGAAGAGCAGCCTTTAAGAAGGTGTGGCAGATTTGATGGATGCCCTGGTCTCCTCCACTGAGTTTGTGTGGCCATTGGTACAAGACCCCAGATCCTTGTATCCTGCACCACCCTGATCTCCCTGACGCAACTCGCTTCCTTGTGTTTGTTCACTCTGTTGGATTCTACTCAAGTCTTGAGGCCTTTGTCTCTGTTCCTCTAACTTGCCAATCTGCTTTCTGGGCTTAGACCTTAGTGGCTCTTCTCTTCACTTGAAGTCTTAACCCGTCCGGGGTCCCTTCTTTCCAATCCCACATCATCTCCAGTTTTACTTCTGAAGAATCGAAGTTCTTTACCCACCATCCAAAATCCTCCTCCCTCTCTCTCTCCCTTTACTTTTCCTCTTGTGTGTCTGCAATCATCTAAGTTGTGGTTTTCAGTCCATGTGCTTGCTACTTTTCTTCAGCTAAAGTAAAGCTTCTTCAGGGCAAGGGAGGATCAAGGAATGTCAGAATTACACCACATTGATCTGATCACCACCTTGCCAAACAAATTTGCTACAGGAATATAGGGAAAGAATCCTTTAAGAGGGAATGGGAAACACTATTTCACCCTTCACCAGGGATCCCCAAAGAATTTTCTGAGGACCCCCAACAGGTCCCAAGGTCCTCCTAAAAGGGCCATGAGGTCAAAACTAGTTTTATTTCAGTAATAAGAGCTTGTTTACCTTTCCTATTCCTCTCTGTGCATTTTTGAAAGCCAGTGTGACATACACCATCACAACAGTCTGATGTGAGGCGGACGGGAGAATCTGCCTACCTGTTAGTCCATCAGCTGCCCCACGAGCGTAAATCAGTGCCATTCATTCCTCTCACTGAACGTTCGGGTTGTCTAGATTTTTATGTGCACTTGTTTGTTTCCTTTGCTGCTATAAAAATTACAAAAAAAACAATTTATTATAATTCTGAGTGTCTGAAGGAAGATATATCAAAAAATAAACGTTTCAAAAGCTAAAATCAAGGTACTTGTATTCCCTTCTGGGGCCCTTGGGAGAATCTGTTCATCCTTTTACACCTTAGAGAGGCTACGCCTTGGCTCTGAGCCCTTTCCCCTCTGAGGCTGCACTGCTCATAGCTCATAGACATCTTCCTTTCTCTGCCTGCTGCCTGCTGCCTGCTGATTGTAACCATCCTGTGATTCCTCTACATCATATAGTGCGACAATCCAGGATAGCCTATCTATGTCAAGATCTTAAGACTATAGATCATCATTATTAATTCTTCCCATTATAGAATAATAACAGCGAATAGTGTATTATTTTAAACAAATTGATAACTTTTAAAAACATCAGAACTTAAATTTCTAATAAATACTAATAGCTATTGTGCAAATAAATAAAAGCATTTTTTAGTTTTCCAAAACAATGAAAACTTAAAACAAGAAAAGGTTAGGGGTCATAAAACTGAGCAGTGTGACAATGCCTGGCCCCCATTATTGTGTTTCAGATTAAATTGGTTGTCCTGTGTATCCTGGCTATGACCGTTCGCTCTCTTTCCCTCTATCGTGACTGCCTTAGAGTTGAATATCCTACTTGTTTCTAGCATGAGGGAAAGTCACTGAAGACTCCTTGTAAAGATTACTTTGGTGAGGATTATTTTACTCACTAAATCTCAGAGTGGTAGAAAATGATCATTTCTGTGATCTGAATGTTAGCATGAGAGAATATGGTACCCCAAACAATCCTCACCTGCCTTGTGACCAGAGAAAACCTATGTTCCAGGGGAGATAAATGGAGTGGGAACATGAAGAATGCTAAGCAAGCTTTTCCTCGGTGTGCTGGGGATGGAGCCCAGGGCAGCATACCTGCCTGTGCCTGCATCACCCAGCTCCATGCATCCCCCAAACCTACACCCCTGATTGCTCAGATGCCCTTTTGTGGATATAATTAATCCTGTCATGTTTCTGTTACTTGCTGCTTTAAGTTTCCTAATGTTATGGGGGGGGGGGGGCTAGGGGACAACATGTTTGAAATTTTCATGTAGGAATTCCCTCATACTATTTCCCATGAAATTTAAATATCTTTCCTAAATTCTGAGAAATCAGTAAACGAGGGAAAGTGTTATAATTCTCCTGTGATAATGAAGACTGTAAACAGAGAGATGCAGTTAGAAGGAACCCAAAGAAGGACGGTGACACAGGGATTTGAAAGAGCTACAGGTGACATTTGCAGAGATGACAGTCGTCCGTTCAGTTTTGTCTGTGTTTGTGAGCACGTTATAAGTTTATGTTCCTGGCCATGTCAGCAGCTACCAATGAGTCGTCCTTGCAAATTAAAATAGAAGGCTATTTGCATAATATGTTCTTTTCATTATGAATTGTATTCAAAGAAGAACATGTTTTGGGGAAAAAGAAGTCTTTAAGTTGGCAATTTTAACCCTTGAGTTTTGTAATGCCGACGACCTTGGAGAAGGCCTTCTGCATTCAAAAGGGACTACAAGTTTTTTCAAGTACAAATTGTTGAGAAAATTTTAACTTTAGAAAAAGCAATTCAGTGTCAAATCCAGATTCATAGCAGATAAAATATTTCCATCCTTAAAAAAGATGGATGTACATGCAGCT